GAATTTGTCATGGTCTCATCTGACCTCGGCAATGATCCTGGGGATTAGCAGAATCCATGGGCGAAGTGTAAAGGTGGCCCTGATTCCCCTACAAAAGGAAAATGTCTGGCACAGATCCTGTGGCTCCTATCTCCTCTGGAATAGAAGCTTGGGCACTCAGCACTGTGCTTGGTGGCACCATTGATGGAATAGTGACCTGGTGATGGATTTCAGCAGTATCCACTCTGATTCTTGACAGATTGCCTGATTAGGAAATTATAGAAAATGTTCTTGGCTCCCAGAAGGTGGAGAGCTATCTGGATTATGCCATGCAGCTAGCAACAGCTCCATAGTTTGATTGCCTCCCTGAAGAGGGAGAAAAAGATGGCACTCCCTTGCTCATATGGCATATTGTTGAGGTACTGTTTGTCTGTATCTATTCTACAGAATGTTATAAGATCAGAAAGAATGCCTTGCATGTGAGTCTGAAGACTCTGAGCTCCAAGACTTTTATGTGCAGTTTCATGTCCTCTGGGATCCATGTTCCTGTATCTGCAGGGTGGTCCAGAGGGGGTCCCCAGACTCATCTGTGACTTTTGCACTGGATGGCAATGGGGTCATGAATGATACTCCTTTTGAGCACTGCCTGGATGCAGCCACCAGGTCGGTACTGTGAGGGCAAAATACCAAATTAAAATAGTGCTCAATTGATGCTCTGTGGGGGAGTATACTTACCTGACCCAGAGTTGTAGGGACGTTGGGCAAACTCTGGCAAGCAGCATCACATATGTACATTGGACATATGCCCTAACAACATGAGGCAAGTATGTACTGTTGTCGCTGGATGCAATACCATAGTGTTCAGTTATGACTGAAGTGCAAGCTATCTGTCCTGTGGTAAGACAGCCCTTGCTGTTGTGAAATTTATCCTGGCCCCGAGGAACTGTGATTTTTGTTACCCTTCTCTGCATCTTTCCAATTCTAATATACCTTTTTGAGATGCAGTGACCAGAACTGCACACAGTATTCATGGTATGGGCATACCATGAATTTATACAGTAGCATTGTGATATGTACTGTCTTCTTTTCTATCCCTTTCCTAATTGTTCCTAACATTGTTAGCTTTTTTGACTGCCATTGCACATTGAGGAGCTGTTTTCAGAGAACTATCCACAATCTCTTTCTTTAGTTGTAACAGCTAATTTAGACCCCCATCATGTTGTATATATAGTTAGGATTATGTTTTCCACTGTGCATTACTTTGAATTTATCAACATTGAATTTCTATTACTATTTTGTTCCCCAGTCATCCAGGTTTGAGAGATCCCTTTGTAATTCCTCACAGTCTGCTTTGGACTTAACTATCTTGACTAATTTTGTATCATCTGCAAACTTTGTCACTGTTTACCTCTTTTTCCAGATCATTTATGAATATGTTGAACAGCACTGGTCCCAGTATTGGTCCATTGGAAACTCCCTTATTTAGCTCTTTCCACTCTGAAAACTGATCATTTGTTCCTACCCTTTGTTTCCTATCTTTTAACCACTTCCTGATCCATGAGAGGACCTTTCCTCTTGTCCCATGACTGCTGACTTTGTTTAACAGCCTTTGGTGAGGGTCCTTGTTGCTTTGTGAAAGTCCAAGTATACTATACACACTGGATCACCTTTGTCCACATGTTTGTTGAACCCCCTCAAAGAATCTTAATAGATTTGGGAGGCATAATTTCCCTTTACAAAAGCCATGCTGACTCTTTCCCCCAAAATTGTGTTAATCTAGGTGTCTGATAATTCTGTTCTTTCCTATAGTTTCATCTAATTTGCCAGGTACTGAAGTTAGGCTTAGTGGCCTGGAATTGCCGGGACCACCTCTGGAGCCTTTTTTAAAAAAAAAATTGGTATTATGTTAGAGATCTTTCAGTCATCTGGAACAGAGGCCAATTTTAGTGATAGTTTATATACCACAGTTAGTAGTTCTGCAATTTCATATCTGAGTTCCTTCAGAAATCTTCAGTCAATACCATGTGGTCCTGGTGACTTATTACTGTTTAATTTATTTCCAAAACCTCCTGTACTGACTCCTCAATTTTGGACAGTTCCTCAGGTTTATCACCTGAAAAGAATGGCTCGGGGTGGGAAGCTCCCATCTTCTGCATTGGAGACTGTTGCAAAGAATTCATTTAGCTTCTCTGCAATGGTCTTGTCTTCCTGACTGCTGAGCTTTTAACACAATGAGAATATGGAATATTTTTTTTAAAGAAGTGAGCTACGTTGTCTCTTTTTAAATTTTTAAAAACTTTTAAATAACTGTATAATAGCCAGTGAGTACATTTTTGCTTAAAACTATATACTAAACTACACTTTGATTAAAATTTGGTGAGTCAGAGAAGTGTGATAAAAACACAAAGAAAGAATGTTACAATTCAAGAGCTGTTGTTATAGGAATTATCTTCTGCCTTTACTGTAAGTAATCCTCTGAGACATAAATCCAAGACTACAAAATGATTTTTTAAAAGAAAATCATTAAAACAATTATTAAAGCATTTGTTAAACTTTAACACAATGCCTTAAAAGGACTGGATAAATGGAATAGCTAATATGGACTGAAGCAATTCAAGTGCAAAAAATTAATCAGATCCATCCAAGTATTTCTATATTTTTTCAAAATTGTGATCAGTTAAGCAATTTTTAAAACTGTAAATAAAATTGAAAATTTAGAAATTCTTGCATTCCTTTTCAGTATTTCATAAGCTATTTGAAGCATAACACTATCAATTTTTTAATTTTAAACTGAAAATTAGGTATACTTACACTTCTAAGGTCTCTTATAAAACTGCCAACATATTCATTAGCAGACAGGCTTTAAAGGCATCAACATTATAGTGCTACTAATTTGCATCCAATTATCTCTCATTACTTGCTTTGGAAAGGCTGAGGTTTATTAGCATCTTGATGCTGATGGAAATACAATACCTGATAGCACATACTGTAGCACTCAACAAATACTGAAATACTGTTAAGTGTCCCATAGCTTTGAACTCTAAATTGTTAAGAAATCTACAGACTGAAAGCAACTGTATATTATCTGAGCTTGACTGGCATATTCTGAAAACCCCATGACAGAGTCTGCAATTTGAAGCAGATTCAAGAAAGTTAGGTACATTATGGAGAATAGGTCAATAACAAGTTGTCATGTGAGTATGAGGTGGATTTTCTGAAGAGGAAAAAACCCTTCGATATCAAATTTAAAGCCCTGAATTAATTTGACACATTTTCAGACCATAGTTCAGGACTTACAGACACTATGATTTTTGGAATCTAGCACCCTCAATGGATGGTGTTCCACGAATAGCAACATTGGAATCTGTAGTGTAGACAAAGATCAGTTTGAGGTTTGTTTGATTGGTTGGTTGGTTTTACCACACAGTCATCTCACCGGGCTCAGAACAGAGTAAGATGATTTATGATAATAATTCCTGAACCTAGCGTACTCTGCAGCCTCTGCCCCTCTGGTACTGCCAAGGTTCTACATCCCAAGGAACCTGACCGAGGGACGCAAGAGGCACCTCTATGGGTGCATCAAAGTTTCCAAACTGTGAAGTTACTGAAGTTCCCACTTGGTCTTATGCTTGAAGCAAGACAATAATGGGAAATCTCTGAGGTGGGTATCTATAGAAAAGCTATTTCTCTACTTAATCACCAGTTACCAGATGTAGTTTTCATAATTTACTATTATATAGACTTCTCATTCACTTTAATGGAAAATGTAAGCACAAAAAAGTCATTTGCAGTTTTTTATCATTTTATCATAGAAAGAAAACTAAGCATAATGTAGAGGAATGAGCAGAGGGCTGGGAACAAGGAAATCCTGAGGTGTAATCCTAGCTCTGGTAGTGACTCCTTTTGAGATCCTCTGCCTCCTCACTTTGAAAGTGGGGATACCTCTCTATGGGATGCTCTATCCCTGCAATTGCATTATTATTCATAAACATAAGAAATGGAAAAAACGTATTATGCCAACAGCTCCCTGACAATTTATGGTTATTCCAAACTATTCATATTTTTCCTTAATTTCTGTATTCTCAAACTAAAAAATGTCAGTGTGATACTATTATAGCACAGAAATAAAATTTCTCTTAAGTTTTCAGTTTGTCAGCAGGATAGGAAAGATCAGAGGATGAGGAGGAAATTAGTAAACTTCCAGTGGCTCTCAGAGCCTTTGAACCAAAAGTTTGCTTTACACAAGAGTAGTCCATTAAATGCAACAGGAGTACTGCAGTACGTAAAACCTGCACATATACTATAGATTCAATTTAGCCTCTTATATATTATTGTGGTTTTTGCATTTAATTACTTACTGAGCTAAAAACCTGTATGTGACTAAATGCTGTTAAATTAGAGTAGAGAGAAAATATTACTGAGTTTAAAATACGGCGTTAGAGATCTCTGAGACAAAAATCAGAGCTGTCCACGCAATTTTAAGGGTCACCTATGACAGTAGTCTATCACTACGCAAAAGTGAAATCTTGTGCAGTGAAGGTTCCTTTTGCCTATAAGACAGGCACAATGTAAAATGCATTTTCTGAGAGCACTGTAAAATTATTACAAACTGCAGCAAATCAGAAGAGAGGTATTATAGAAATAGAGAACTACAGAATTATATCGTATGTGAGGGATGACAAGTTAATAAAAATCAGAAAATCAAAAATTTCTTTTTTTTTAAAAAATATAGCACAGGTATCTATGAAGACACCTAAAAATTGATTATTTTCAAAAGTACCCAAAAAGAGATGCATAAAGTACAATAAAACATCATTTAATATTTCATGAAAGTAAGTATTTATGTAGTATTTAAGCTGTCAGCCAGCTTCACACATTGGCACCTATTATCAACTTTCATCTAATTCCTTGTCTAACGGCTACACGAGCTCTCACGTTTCCATTGCTGTTATCGTTGTTCATTATGAGAAAGTTGTATAATCAGTTTGTTATAAAATTGAATTGTACTGTATTGTACTTACCTAGTCCTTTAGGAGTAATGCCACTGCTATCAGCAGGATTAACTACCCAGTAGTAGTATTTCAGTGTGTGCATTAGCTGTAATACTGTTCCTACTCTGCGTATGGTGGTGTAGATAGTAGCAGTGCCAATAAATTCAGCAGACAGATAGGTATACAGTGAAAGCTGCACCTGAAGAATAAAATTATAGCCCACAAATATAAAGTTAAATCTTATTTTCATATTAAATAGAGATGTTAACAGTAAGTGAATTAAAATTATTATAGAATGAGTGATTTTTTTCCCCAATGGCTCATATTTTGGCTGCTTGAAGTATGATTTTTCAGATTTTGCATTTCATTTTCATTCATACAGTCTTAAACCACAATGCATGAAAAAAACTGCAGGTTGATTATTATTGGGGATGAGTAATCATTTCTATCATATTTCCTAACAGAAAAGATGAACAATTAAAAACTCAGTATACATGTTAGATGTAAAACTGCAAATTACAGGATTTTTTGCCTTTGGTTTACAATTACAAATATTTAATACTGCATTTTAAAAAAGTAAGCTGCATTAATTACCATAGGTAAAGGAAAACTTGTATGTCACTTTACAGTACAAGAAGCAACAACACATTTACACTGTACACATACCTTTGCAGGGGTATGTATCCAAATAGCAGGATTAAAAAGGATGTGATCACACAATTGCTTCAGTAAAGGTGCTCCATGTGACAATCCATCCAGATATTTTGCAAAAGACAAAAATTGCTCCAAAACTGCCCTGGTTATATGAACTCTAGATGACTGAACAAAGGAAAAAAAAATGTAAACTCGGTCTTAATACACTTTCATTCAATCTTCCAGCCTTACTCTAAAAGAAGAGATTTGAACTGGGGCAGTATTTACTAAGCACGAGTAAAATGCTACATTCTTATTCTTAAAGACAAGAATAAAATCAGACAAATACATATACATTCTCATAACTCATACTATTGGTCTTTCTCACAGAGAAGAAAACTATTTTTTGGTCCATACAGTTTCCCAGTTCAAAAGATGAATATTGTGTTCACTAATAATTCATCTCAGTAATGGTCAAGATTTAAATGCTCCTTTTTGCTTACTGATAAGGTGTTTGAATCTTATTAACTTCAATATTTGCTTTGAAACTATGCTCAAATATCTGCAGCTAAGATTATTTTTTTCCTGTTTTCTCCATTTTATTTTCCTCCATATCATAGTCAGTCTTCCACTCTTTGAAGTGTTGTGTCTCGTTAATTCCTTTTGAATTCTTCAGCATTTCTTCAGTGCTGTGAACTACTTAAATATTTTATGGTGGAACATTTTTTTCCCAAGTTAATGGGTGTCTCAATACACAACTGAGCAAGCAGGCTTTTGTTTTTAAACCTATAGAGTAGTTTGAATTTTGATTTTTTTTTCTTACTACCTTTTTATTTAAAGAAACCTTCAGTTTCATAGCATACAGTGTAAAATCATGGATGAAGTGCTATTTTCTCACTTGAAGTGATATGACATGTAGATCCATTTTACATTTTTTTTTTTAAGTGAACAAGAGAAAACAATAGTGTTGAGCAGCAACACAATGCCATTGTAAGGGTATCAGTTATTTTTAATGTTCTATGTCTATTAACTGAGAAAATATGGTATATTCCTTAACAAGTAAAAGATTTTCTTTTCTAATTGTCAATGCTGCAACTCAGCCTGAGATTTGAGACTTAAGATAGGTTCTTTCTTCTTCATTTGTATTATTGTAGCACCTAGCGGTATGTCTACACAGCATTATAGAGCAAGGCTCTGGAGCTCAGGCTCTGAATACTAAAGAGTAGGCTTCAGAGCCTGAGATGAAATTTCAAAGCTCTATCTATACAACTATTTTTAGAGTGCTAGCACAAGCCCACTAGCCCCATTGTCAACCCAGACTTGGAGGCTTGCTTCAAAATGTTGTGTAAACACACCTTAGGAGGCTTAGTCATGGACCATGACTCCATTGTGCTAGACACTGTACAAACACAGAACAAAAAAATTGCTCCTACCCAAAAGAGCTTACAATCTAAGTATAAGACAAATGATAGCAGAGAGAGAGAGAGAGAGAGACAGACAGACAGACAGACAGACAGACAGACAATGGAGTATAAAGGAAACAATCAGACAATATTGGTGATGGTGATAGGCAGTGGTCACAGCACACCAGCAGCCTAACGGTTATCAATTATTTTGTAGGTATTATGGCAAATTAGAGTTTTGAATGTAGATAATCAGGTAGCTTTGTGCATGTTTATGGTGAGCTTCTCCGAAGCATGAGGGGCAGCATGGGAGGAAGCATGAAGGTGTTTGAAAATTTAACAAGTGGGCTATGGGGGCTGGCATCATGCATGGACCAATTGGAGGCAAAGGTCAACCTCTTGATCACAAATCAGGTGGTAGGTAGAGTGGGAATAATGCATCACCACCAGTAAAAACATTTTGCAACTGACACATAGATAAGAGTTCATTTGATGCGCAAGTCAGAAAATAATCTCTCTCCATTCTATTTGGTCATATGCATGTAAGTGTAGAGAAATCTACAATAAGAATAGTGAGGCTAGATGTGAAATGAAAAATAATAATTCTTCTCTTATAGCTGCAAGTTTGACAGGAGCATTTACCAGGTAAGTAAGAGAGGACGTTATTTACCTGTAACTGGAGGTTCTTCAAGATGTGGGATCCCTATTTGGATTCTAAACATGGGTGCACATGTGCGCCATGTGCCAGCACTGGAAGGTTTCATAGCAGAGTCCATTAACCTGCATGCGTTGTGCGTCGCCTCGTGCTTCTGTCCGAGGTTATAATAGGCCATGTGGGTTGACGCCTCTCCCTTGCCCTTCTTACTGCTGAATATTCCGGTGTGGAGCAGAGGAGAAGGAGGGCAGATATTGGAATCCAAATAGGGACCACACATCTTGAAGAACCTCCAGCTACAGGTAAGTAACCTCCTCGTCTCCTTCAAATGATGGTCCCTATATGGATTCCAAATGTGGGTGAGTGGCAAGCAGTGATCAGCATGGAGGGTGGGTGCGAGAATGGGGGTGAAAGTACTGAGTGCAATACAGCTTGGCCTACTCCTGCATTTGTTGCTGCTGCTGCTTAGGCAATGGTGTAATTTGAGGTGAAAATGTGCACAGGCGACATGGCTGCTTGAGCCTGGTACAGTGCGCCGTGATGACATCAGGTTGCCTCATGTTGCTGAACTTGTAGCATTCCTGGATGCACCCAGAGACCCATTTGGAAATGAGTTGTGAGGAAAGGGTGTGGCCCTTGCATCATTTGGCAATTGCTAACAGAGTTATGATGATGTTCGGAAGTCAAGGGTTTGTTGCAGACATCAAGGGAGTGGAGGAGTCTGTCCGCAGTTGAGGTGTAGGGTTTAGCGTAGAAAACTGAGGTGTATACACTGATTGAGGTGGAACTTGGACACCACCTTAGGAAGTAATTTAGGGTGTAGATGCAAAGACACTTTGCCTTTGTGTAATATGGTGTCTGGGGGCTCAGCCATCATGGCCACTAGTTCACTGACCCATCTAGCCACGGTAATGGCCAGTACGAAGATTACCTTCATGGAGCAATATGAAAGGGAGGACATCACCAGGAGTTCAAAGGGCGGTTTTCTGAGAGCAGTGAGAACAAGATTAAGGTCCCACAAGGGTGTGAGTTTTTGTAATGAAGGGAAGGTGTGGAGCAAGCCGTTTAGGGAACAGACTGTAGTAGGGTGTGTAAACACAGAAATGCCATCCATTGGGTGGAGGAAGGCACTGAATGCCACCAGGTGGACGCATATGGAGCTAAGGGCTAGGCCCGAAATCTTGAGTTCAAGAAGGCAGTCCAGGACAATAGGTATGGATATCGTCGTGAGTGGGTATTGCTGATGGTGTGCCCAGGAGATGAAGTGCTTTCATTTCACTTGGTAGCAGGCTCTGGTGGATGTTCTTCTGCTTTGCAGTTCTTCTGCAATGCACTGGGGTGGAGCAGGCCCTGCCAGAGCTTGAGCTCCATCCAAAAACAAAGCTGTGAGGTGAAGAGGGCTAGGATGCCGGAGCTGGCCCTGGTCTTGAATGAGGAGATCCGGCTCTGTGGAGAGGCAGAGCGATGTGCAGGCAGACCATTTCAGGAGGTCCATGAACCAGCACTGTCATGGCCAAAATGGGGCTGTTAGTATCACTCTTGCTCGATCCTGATGAATCTTGCAGATGACTTGCAGGAGGAGGGAAAGGAGAAGGATGTCGCCCTGAGTCATCTCCCACCATCCCTCTGGAGCAATAGAGGGCAAATTTGCAGTTCTCACAGATTGCGAAAAGGTCCAAACATGAGGTGCCCCACTCATGGAAGAGGTATTGGAATGTGGTGTTGTGCAATTCCCATCCATGGAAAAAAATCCTAACCAAATTTAATCTCCAAATAATGAAGATTAAATCAGGGATCAATTGGGCTTTATATGACGGCTGGCATATTCATTTGGAATTTGTGACCGAATATTAGTTTTATGGAAGGAATCATTCGTCAGAGCATCCTGTCCTATTACTGACCAATAAGTAGAAAAATGGTGAAAAGTCTTGATAGTGGATCTTGCAAGTCCTGGTGGGTGGGGAGAGGTGGGAAGAAAAAAAACTCTTGCTCTGGGGGACTGAAACTCTTCATTCACCCTGTGTCTTATGTGTTTTAGATTATCCTTTAAACACTTTCAGAAACCTATTGCACACTTGTAGGCCTAGATCATCATAATTAAATTAAAAGTAACTTCCAAAGGGACTAGACAAATTGAGTTTTATCTTCCTTCCAGAGGCTTCCCTGTGTTTTACTAACAGGGCCGGCTCCAGGCACCAGCTTGGCAAGCAGGTGCTTGGGGCAGCCCTCCGGAGAGGGGCGGCAGGTCCAGCAATTCAGCGGCAATTCGGCGGACGGTCCCTCACTCATGCTGGAAGCGAAGGACCTTCGGCCGAATTGCAGCCGCGGGTCGCAATCGCGGCTTTTTTTTTTTTTTTTTTTTTGGGCTGCTTGGAGCAGCCAAAACCCTGGAGCCGGCCCTGTTTACTAACCATGCACAGTCTTCCACAGTACAGAAGCCATCTGGCAAGGAAAGCAACTGAATTATGAATAAAATGCTCTTAAGAGAAGTGTGTTCATAAACTTAATCACTTAATGATTTGCAAATGCCTTGAAACATGAGGATTTGTAGTCCGTCTTTTTAAAAAAAAAAAAAAAAATGTTATCCTATCTAAAATAAACTGTATGTGGCCATTCTGGCACCAATAGCACTATCGCAGATGTTTTTCAGCTCAATTCATGCAGCTGGTCAAACTTGATCTGATGCTCAGAATGGAAAAGAAGGTGGAAATGATACCCTTATATATCAGTCATTGCCTTCTTTGAATTTCAGGTTGGAACTCACTTCTCCTATAGTGATAAACCATTTTTGATGTTCACCCTCAGAAACCAATGGAACCAGTAAATTTTCAGGAGGCTTTATGTGACAATACTGTTACAGTAAGGGACCCACATTTATGATTTAATGGAATTTTATAACACATTTTGTTCCCAACTATCAATGAAGTTTTCTCTTTCACACCTTCGTCATAGGTCACCTAAGTTTACAGTAACTGGAATAGGTAGTAGGGTGACTAGAGTGCTAGTGGTTCCAAGTCTAGGGCTCATTAAGGTGTTTTTAAAGTCTTTTGCCTTGGCAGTACAAGGAAAGAAACATTTATTTTGCTCCATAATAGCATCTACTAAGTTTCAGTCAGTGATTTCGTTTCAAGTGGTGGACAGCTTGGCTGTTCTAAACTGTCTCCACTTGGCTGCTGATACAAATACCTTCCATTATGGGGAAAATTACTTTGAGGACTAAATTTCAAGAATTTGGTCTGAACTATCTGGCACCATGGGAGCAAAGTAAGTTCTGGAGGGAACAAATGCTACATCTGTGCTTGGAGGTGTTGGGATCATTTGTTCCAACAGCATAGGTTTGGATGATATGCTCTTCTTGGTTGGCAACTACTTGTAGACAAGTACTAGGTCTATTACTGGTAGAGAAGTCCATTCCTTCCTGAGTCAAGGAGGCAGCTGATGGAGCACATCTGACAAGAACTCCTCAGGTTTCGGATTCATTACTCATCCAATCATAAATAACCAAAGCTTAGTGAACTTCAGGACATGATGCAAGACTCATTTGTTTTTCCTAGATATGAAGGAATTGGAACTCTTTGGAAGGAGACTGCTCTTGATGGTAGCCCATTCCCTATTATTATTGTTTTGTTAGTTAATGGTTGAAGGGACATTACAGCATTTGTCTATTCAAAACTGTATATTTAAGGAATTTTCAGGGATGCCTAGAATAAGAGATAGTTACTCCTTTTGATGTGGATTGTATGTGTAAATAAAATGAAATAATAAAAATAAACAAAAACTGGAGGAACTTTTAAAGAGTGCTCACTATGTTTAAACTTGGCTTTCCAGTTCTACACAGGATTTGAGGGGTAAGACTTATCTGAGCTTAAAGGGAAGTTACTAATAAATATGAGGAAAGAGAAAAGGGATTTCTGAACATTAGTACATGACGTGAACTATCAGGCCGGAAAAGAAGAAAAGCATCCTGTAAACAGCATATAAAATATTAAAATTACAGAACTTCCTAGATACTTACTAACATGGAGAACTAAAAGACTAGTAGCACAAAAAAATACATGACTGAAAATACTGTATTCAGCTAGGTTTTCAGAATGATAGTATTAATGCAAAGAATAATATTAATACAACTTACCTTTTCAAGGAGGTAGCCAATGACTAAAAAGCCTTTTCCACCCAGCATTTGTTCTTGCATGGCTACTGAACTCTTAAGAAGTTCGACCAGGAAAGCCAAAAGGGTGGCACTGCATGTAAAGTACAGGCATTAATCAGATTTAAAATGTTCTAAAAGCAACCTGTTGTGTTTTCACTAGTCATCAGTTATTAAGTGAGAAGAAACAAGCTTAAAGTGAACTTTATTTTTAAGTATGAAACCAGAAATTTCACATTTTATGCTGAATAGTTTTTAGTCAATTATTCACATATTACATTACTTTTGCAATCATATTCAAACTAGGGGTGATGATCATCTATGTCAACTCTCCTACTTTGGCCAGGACTGCCCCAAGTTTTAAACACCCACTTCCAGAACCTGCTATCAAAGTCATGGGCAGTTGGATGAGGCAGGAACTGATGAGTGAGATCCAACTGACAGACCTAGATTGGTGTAGACGGAGGTTGTCTCAGCAATCTTTTAAACTTCAAAATCAAGAGAAACCTTGTAAATTTCAGACCAAACTTCTGGCCACTTTACACCATCACTCCAGTCTCTATGGTTACTACTAAAGCAGATATGTATTCATGCAGGCAATACTATCCAGAACACAGCACAATGGAGCTGTGGTGTTGAGTGTTTCCTTCCTCCCCAACAACCCTGAGGACAGACTCCAGGCATCAATATCTGGCCACACAACATGGTCCAATGTGCACCTTAGTATGGGCTAAAGATCAGTTTCACCTGTTGGGAAAAGTGTAAAGAAGAGACCAGTTCAGGAGAATCAAAGAAACCAGCCTCCAGGCCAGTAGTGCTCAGCCCCTCTCTGGCTACGTCTTCACTACCCGCCGATCCGGCGGGTAGCAATCGGTTTATCGGGGATCGACTTACCGCGTCTCGTGAGGACGCGGTAAAATCGATCCCTGATCGCTCTGCCGTCGACTCCGGAAATCCACCTCGACAAGAGGCGGTAGCGGAGTCGGCGGCAGCGCGGCAGCGGTCGGCTTTCCCCCGTCCTCACCACCAGGTAAGCCGACCTAAAATACGCAACTTCAGCTACGGTATTCACGTAGCTGAAGTTGCGTATCTTAGGTCGGAACACGGCTGTAGTGTAGACCTAGCCTCTGTGAACAAGGTGCTTAGCTGGGACGGAGAGACAAAAAAAGTGGTCACAAAAGACTACTATTTGAAGGAACAGAAGAAAAGGTGGGAGAGACTATAGAAGACAGACTTGCCAAAAAAAGGTGAAAATATATATTGTGAGGACCCAGGGTGATAGAGGGATGTGTGAGAAACCAGTTAATTGAGAAGAAGAAAAAAGCAATTAACAAAGCAGGGTCAGAGCAATGTAGCAAGGAAAAGAAATGCATTAGTAAGGTGGAGTCAGAGGAAGAGAAAGAAATGCATTCATCTGTTGTTCAGAAGTACACAGAAGGGGAAAAATAGGAACTCATGGCAGAGATTAAAAAGAGGAGCACATTTTTTTCCACTGGATGATTTTTTAAATAAGCCAGAGAGCTGTTGGATTGTTGGAAATGAACTGTAGTGTACCAAAGGCCTTAAATATAACCCTTCTAAAAATAAAGTAACAAAAATTCATTCAAATTTAGAGGCAAATATCTATTTGTCCCCATATATTTAGTTTGTTATAAGAATTCTCCCGGGAAAATTAATTTGTGTACTGGCAACTGTGGAAAAATGAATTAAAGATAATATCAACCCTACACTTTACAAATTTAAATTTTACTTAAAGAATCTAACTAAAGGTTCTACTGCTTCTCAAACACAACTTTTTATTTCTGAAAACATTTTGAGACCAGGTAATCCACGTCAGCACCAAAAAAATTAATCGGCACAAGGAGGGAAACAGGAAGCAGTATTCCTGGTGAGGAGCGCTGAGATGAAAGTACACAGTGCAGTCAGAATGCATGCTGTGAATAGGATCTAGTGTCTTGTCTTGCTTTATTATTGTACAATAATCAGTATAAATCCACACACGGTATCCTCTACAAATTATCAGCAGTAAAGAACACAGACAATATCCAATTACAGTACTCAAAAGCTTTTAATCAAATCAGTCTGTCAAACTGTCATTCATTTCAAATCAAGTAAAATTCATCAGCTTTATTTTTTATCCTGATAGAAAAGCACTGTATTTTATTAAGTATATCTATAGTGAACAACTTTACTCTTTAGCAGCTCAAGAGAGGCAAACTGTGTTTTACAAAAAACTGACATATACAACATTCCAGATTGACCTATATTTAGAAATATAATTGTTTAAACTAGTCACAACCTAATATGCCAATCCTGCATAGATTTTATACCTGTACTTAATTCTATGCACTGGGAATAGTCCCCTTTTCTTCAACAGGACTGCTCACCATGTGTGTAAAGTTAAGGAAAAGCATAAATCATTGTGAAATTAGGCACTAGAATTATAATCATGAATAGGATTGATATAAAAATCAGAAATTATTATTAGAAATTATAATGGTTGATGGACTATTTAATATGGGGGTAAACTGGGACTCAGAACACCTGTTTTTTCCCCAGTTCTGCCAGGGACCTACTATGTGACCCTGGGCAAGTTACTTCACCTCTCTGTGCCTCTAACCATTTGTTCGTCTTGTCTATTTTGATTGTAAAATCACTGATAAAGACTTACTCTTACTATATATTCATACTGTCTTTAGAACAATGGGGCCCCAGTTTCATATGAGGCCTCTGGGCACTACTGTAATATAAATATAAACAACAACCACCACCACAACAAACAAATATGGTATTTTATGGGGAAAAGCCATTAGTACCATATAGAGTATAAATCAAATCTTTGAGAGAGAGAACATGTTAATGGGCTGCTGCAAACCTAAAATAATTAAAATTACAAGTACCAGAGAAATTAGAGGTTAAATGGAGCCATCTCACATTCACCTAAAGATATAACCATCAAGAAGTTTGGGGCAAATTCTGTATAAGACAACAGAACTGACTACATTTAGCTAGTTAAACATAACTAGAGAAAAAATGGTTTATGTATATTACTAAAGAGAACACAGAGCTATTAAGGGGCATCTAACATGTCAAATGATATAAAAGATCTGTAAAGCCACTTCACAAATATTTGTTTTTAAACTGCCATTGCACATATAGCATAGAAATGAAATGATTAAAGGAAAGGACAGAAAAATTACATGCTTGGCCTGAATTTGTTGTGGAAGTCTTGCATACACATTTCAGTCATTGGCTTGGGAAAGGGACAGACTACATTAAATAACAGCTCCTGTACAAAATATTAATTAAAGAAAAGAGGACAGAGACAGGCTTCTCCTCTTTTATACACTCTACATTATCTAACATGTATGTTTTACACTATGGAAAGTTTTATCTGCCTACCTGAAGTATCTAACTATTACACAAATTTGAAAGTTACTTCCTTTCAACCCCCCCTGTAAGTTCCACTGTAACATTTATTGAGACTGACTTCCCAACCAAGCATAAATAGTACTAAAATAAACAAGTAATCACTCTCTCTGACACTGAATTCTAAGGGTCTTGTTTGAGAAGGTATCATCTCAGAGGATTAGGCCCCTAGTTTTTAATACTGTCTATTTCTAGAGCTAGTCAAACTAACAGTTAATTGTATTAAGTCGGCCATTCAAAATGTTAGCAAATGAGCTATAGCTGAAGTCTTTAAAGTATAACATTTATTTTATCAGCAGAACCATGAAGCCAAAAAGAAGCTTTAAAAATGATTACTGGTGACATAATGGAAGTAATATTGTTTAGAAGGCCATCTTCCAAGATGAACATTTTTCAAACAGAATTTAACAAACTTACCAGTAACTAAAATGCATCGGATTGCTGCAGGGCTCACATTAAACTTGCAAAATTCTGTGCACTGCCATACAAAATTTCTCTCCATTCTTGCCTATTTCCAACTCCCCTAGATACAAAGGCAAATATAAAGGATACTTCAGCCCATTCCTACATCTCCTCTATACCATGTCCCACCTAGAACACATCAGGTTGCCTGCACAACAGCTAAAATATACGATATACACAATGGCAAGTATGCATGTAAACGAATACAGAAGAAAACAGATACTGTGTTTTCTGATGAAAAATGTGTTGATCTCAGGACATCAGGATATGTTTCCAGCAATACTTTTCAATCCACAGCAGGAAATTGCCACACTTTTCAATGAATCATGCTACTCCTCTTATTCGAGAATTAGCAAGTAATGGAGATAACAGTCTCTGGAAGATATGTACTTTATCATGATAAATACCTGGAACTGGTTATATGAATAATCTACTACAAACTTTTTTTTCCCCCACAAATGTACCAACAAGTGTACTCTTGGAAGGGTAAGAAAGCTTTTAATCAGAAAGGTGGAGATATTTATCAGAAAATATATGTGCTATGGGAATAACTTATGGATTCAACAGGGAGACTAAGATATCCTTTATATTTGCACTTGCTGGCTATTTTTCCTATATAATTTAGGCACAACATAATTTGTTTTGTCATATGCATTATAAAGTCAGTACATTAATTATTTAACTTCTCTATAAACTGATTTCCTTCATGCAGAAACATGATTTAATATGAATCCCTATTATGTGTAAATCATCTTCTGTTACCAAAAAGCTACTTAGCAATGCCACCCCTTAAACAGAAGGATGATAGTTTTACAGCTTACAGTCATAAAAACACAGATTTTGGATAATGGGTTTCATAATTCCAGAATGTGATAATCCTCATTCTTAAAAAAAAACAAAAAAAGCAATAACTTTTGCTCATAATCAAAATAGCTTCTTGTATAGTTCCTTCAAGTTGGATATTCAGACCGCGAAACATTTTCAAGTATAAAGACAATTCATTTGTAACATTTGAAGATCCCAGCTGTATGGTCTATACTGAGTGAATCAATGAACAATAGGCAACTTTCTTTAACAAACTCTAAAATGAATGTTTCCTCCTTTGAGAGCAATTTATTATTGCTTTATGGATCCAAAACATTTGATTAACTGGAGAACATGCTCCTAAATGGGCTGAAATATCACCATGTCCCTTACAGACCA